TCCCAACAGTTGGCAATCTGAGATCGTTGAAAGCACTGTTCTATTTCCCAAATACAGTCGTGCCCAATCTCTTCTTCCTACTTGCTTCCAGCATTACATGCCATCAGGTATTTTGGTTGCTGGCTGATGAAGGTAGGGAAGGAATTTTACAAACTAAAATGAGACTTGAACTGTATCTTTTCCCCCCTTTCCTCTGGTTTTTAAGCATAATTTCACGGGTTATTTTAGGGCTGTCTGAAGCATGCAACATATTTGAATTCCATAAAGTGAGACTCTTTCATGCTTCTACTCAGGATTTGTCACATTGCAGTGGCTTTTTACAAAATTGTTTTCCTTCCACATGCTATGTTGCAGGTAGAAAACGTGGGCTGTGTGACTATGTTCCTTTGTTTCCCCATAATGGGTGAGCAGAAAAAAGATAAGTGTCCGCAGAGAGTTGAAACACCTAAGGGTTAATGGAACAGGCTCAGTATTTTGCAGGCAGCTGAAGAAGCATCCAAGGTAGGGAAAGCTTGGGCAAAGTGGCCAAATGTTCACACACAGAAATAAACAACCACGAATAATTGAATATTTCAACTCTTGACAACCGTCCAGCAGCAGAAGTAACAGATGCAGCAGTGTGCTTGTCTAACTTTGGCTTGATTGAACCAAACAGACTTGTGAGGTCTTGTGGGAGTAATTCCCTACAGAGGGGTTTGTGCCAACTTTGTGAGGGTTTAGACTAAATCAACTCATTTATTTATTTATTTATTTATTCATTCATTTATTCAGTCATTTATTTATTTATTTATTTATTTATTTATTTATTTATTTATTCATTTATTTATTTATTTATTTATTTCCCCCTTAAAACAGATACAGAACCCACTCACATTTTTTTTTCCTGCAGTGTTGTCTCCAGTATTGTATTTCCCAGCCCCTGGCAGTTGGCCGGAGAGTCAACATTTCCCTGATGCCATGTGTAACTGTGATGGTGTAATGAAAATTCAAGGTGACAGAACGCTTTGGCTCTTAGGGTAAAACCTCTATTGGCTGCTGGTCACTCAGGTGGTGATTGGTGCATGACTGCATAATAGATGTGCTATCACTTTACCATGAGAGCAGTAGTGTACAGAGAGATTACTTAAGGGAACAGCCACTTTTTTTTTCCTGAGGTTAAAACAAAATAAAATAGGATCAATGGATGGAATTTGTAAAGAGTTAAATGTAGTCTCAATTTAAAGACGAACTTCCCACTAATTAGAACTAATTAGAGTTAAATATAGGTTCCCTTGGGAGGTGGTAATTTTTCTTTAACTGGAGTTCTTCAGGCAAAAGTGGGATGAGTTATTTTGGGATGTTGTGGAAGTGATTCTTTAAGACACAATTGAGCCAGGATGGTCATTGAGGTCCATTTCAACTCTGAAATTCTGTGATTCTGTAACTTTCCTCTGTGTTGTGTTGCTTATGTTCCAATTTTGTTTTAAATGTGATGATGATGATGATGATAGCTTCTATAGCACTTTTGGGTTTGCAAAGCTCTTTACAAATATTCTCATTTTATTCTCATAACAACCTTTGGAAGTATATCCTCATTTTACAAATGGTCAAACTGAGGCAAACAGAGGTTAAGTAACTTGCTCAGGGTCCCAGACAGTAAATACCTGAGGCTAAATTTGAATGTAGGTCTTCCTGACTTCAGGCCCAATACTTTATCCTCTCTGCCAACCAGCTACCTGAGTAAGAGAAGTGGAGGCTATTTTAGCTTGGTTTGAAAGCAAATGACTTAAATAAGGAGTCAAGAGATTAAAGTTCCAGTTATGACTTTGCTCTAATTAGCTGCATGAACTTGGGTAAGTCATTTAGTTTTCAATTTTTAAGTTTTGTTAGTGATCACTGAGGCATCAACTAAACTTCTATTACACCAAGGAGAGCTATGATACCTAAACATGACTGGCCTTTTGGAGAATGATCTTTTTTCTTGTAATGTTATGGCTGAGAATAAGCACTCATATTTTTTTTCTAGAGAAGGCTTTTAGGAAAGCTATAAAAGGTGTCCCAAAAGTCTTAGTGAACTCTTAAGCTATTAAAGTTCAAAACCCTACTGAGACTTTTGGGATACACCATATAGAGGCAGAACATTTAGGGTGAAAATATCACACTTTTAGACAATCTATGTTTAAATGCAACCTTTGCCCAAAGCCTGTTAACTGTGTCAACCTGGGCAAACCATTTCATTTCTCTGGGCCTTTTTTGCTTCATCTATAAAATTAATGGATGAAAGGATCTCTAAGGTCCCTTCCTCCTCTAAATCCTATTATCCTTGTCTTACAAAGTCATAATAAGCAACATTATATTTATTGGTTTGAACAGATCAAAGGACCCAGGTGAGCCTTTTGATTATTAGATGGACAGCAAAGAAATAGAATGGATTTTCTAGGTCAGAATAAATGAATATTGTTACCAAATTTAAATACCAGAAAATATCGAGCCAGAAATTATTTTTCAAAAGCACATTAATGAATATTTAATCCAACTCCTTCTTGGTAGAGATGAAAAAACTAAGACCAAAAAGGGTTATTCACCTTGATCACAAAGTTAATAAAGAACAGAATCAGGGCCACTTTTTTCTAACTCAATCAGGTTGAAACTAGGTAAATCCAGGCCCAAAGAGGTTAACATTCCTCTTGTTTTTAGTTAATAAAACTTTATTTTGGTAAGTACTGAGAAACTTTAAAAAAAGACTACAGGGAGGAAGCAGCACATGTATATCAAGTGAGCAGCACAGTTAATTAGGTGGTTCCAACCACCATTCCCTAACTCCAACTCCTTCCCACCTCGTCACAATGCCCTAGTATGATATCTGGGTCCCATCATCCCATATTAAACAGCGAGGGCAAAATGCATATTTTAAAAGGAAATTTCACTTCTTGAGAAATGTATATGTCTCTTCAAACAGCAACTCAGTTCTCCTCATAATCCCTGTACTATTGACATATGCTAGGCACAGTCTCCTTGAGTTCTCAGATAAATCCCCCTTGCCCTGTATTTTTTATGGCACTCTCACAAGAAGTCATTTGAATAAGACTGCAGTAACTGGCACTGTCCTTGGTGTCTTGATTACTTACTAGAAAGCTTCTATGCATTTTATTTTGACTTTCCCTAGAGAGGAACCACTTATGGAGAGAAATGAGGGGTTTTCTTTTGTTTTCTTTTTAAAGAAGAGAAAATACTCCATGTCATCACAACCAGAGGAGCTGGGCAATTTTTTCAATGGGACATAAAGGCATCATCTGTTAAAAACCTTAATGTAGACAACATCTCCACCACAGTCTGAGCTTGCCTAAGGTCATACTATACAAACCATACCAGTCCAAGATTCTGGAACTGTGTTTGGAACACAGCCTTTCTGTTGTAAATCCATTGGATTGTCAGGTGAGAGATTAATAACGTGAGGAAAGATTTGTATAGGATAAGGCTATGGCTCTAGGGATTCTGACTATCTGGCCAGCTTTTCCTCAGTGTTTTTGTTTGGGGTTCTCCAATGTCATGATTGTCCCTAGGAAGAGTCTTAGGCAGAGGGTTGTACCATAAACTGTGTGAGCTATTAGGCACAGCATATACCTAAGGGTTGTACAGTGGTGATCTTGTATCGAGTAAGCAATGGCTATGTGCTTCATAATACTGCCTGAATTTCTCCTTAGTCTCTCACATGGGCCTGTGTCACAGGTCATAGGATCCTGAAACAGAAACATCATGAAGAAATTTGGAGCAACTTGGGAAGGCATACGCTCCTATTTCTGCCTAGTTCTATTTCCCTGTTTTCTCTTAGACTAAGCTAGTGCACATTTAAAACCAATTTCTATATTTTAAGATTCATAGAGTAGATTTAACAGTGGGACACAAAGAGTCCTTAATGCCTTCTTATTTTTGCAGACTGTCATGGGCATTATAGAAAAAAAAATATTGCTTGTGCTTTCCCATAAATGACTCCTAACTGCTGCCTTTGGGTGCTATACACAGCAGCCCATTCTGACAGCTTTTCCTCTTGCATGAACAGTCTTTACCTGGCATTGCTGTGACACCCCAGTGCTCACAATCCAAACAGAAACTCTTAGCCAAACAGACTTGCTGAATACACTCCAGAGGAAATTATGAAACAGTTAAGAAGAAATTTAAGAGAACTAAGTGAATCTAATAAGAATACGGGCAAGTCAATCTGTGTCTCATTGCTAGCCATTTAGGGCCCTGAAGAAAAGCATCTAGAATCACCAAAAAGCCTGCTTTTGCTATTGAAATCTGGTAAAATATTTCATCACCTCAAGGATCTTTGATGTTTCTGATGTGGGCCACTCTCTGCACCAATGCAGATTACAGCCAATCTATAAACTGGTAGCTGGTGTTTGAGAATTACCATGCCTGAAAAATTCACCACTCTGTGGTCAGCCTGGAGATAAACCTATTTGAACACAGCTAGGATGATCCTAGAATTGCAGGAAAACTATTTATTATTAGGTTTATATTGGAAACCTTTTCAGTTTTTTAGGGCCTTCAGAACTTGTGCCCTTTTAGCATAACCCTTGAAAGCGTAGGGCTACCCCTAATTCTCCATGAGACATCAGATGAGGATGGTAGTAAAAATATCACACAGATACAAAAAAGATCTGTAAATACATCAAAGCAGGGAATTCCCAGTGTGGGAACTCCCTCCACAAACACAGAATAAAGCCATCTATAACTTAGTCGACAATTCCAAGAAGTTGTTTGAGAAACTTAAAGGTTAAATGTGTTGACCTGTGTCACACGGCTACTAAGTATCAGAGGTAAGATTTTAATCCAGGTCTTCTTGATCACAAGCCCAGTACATATATAATCACAGAATCTGAGCTTTGGAAGGGAACTCAGCAGCCATCTTGTCCAATCTATACATGAAAAGAATCACTATAACATTGATTCTGTGCAAAAAAAAAAAAAATCCTTTGAAGAGGAGGGCCAAAAAGGCAAGTGACAAATCTACTTACAGGCTATGCGGACTGATGCCTTCCGGCTCTTAGAGGTACCCAGATGGCTCCATGCAACACACTGGCACCAATAGTCTTCAGGTCCATGAAAATCCTCCACTTGCTGCCTGGTGACATTGATAAACACTTCTCGGACCTTCAGACCTGAAGGAGGAAGATAGAGGGAATCATCTGATATGGATATCTTACTGCAGTAGAAAGTTAAGGTAAGCCAACCCATTTCTTTTTTAATTAAACAATTCTGTTTTTAATCAAAGCAAAGCTTTAATTACTTTGACAATAATATATTACTGCTAATTAAATTCTAACAGCTGAGTAGGCCAGAACACATACATACATATAAAGAATTATCAACCAATGGGGGCTTTGGTGAGGTTTCAAAGGTGTCTCAGAGACTTGACTTTGTCTGCAGGCACATTACACATGTTTTCCCAAACTGCTGTGACAAACATAATATTCAAGTTTATCTCCATATAGAGATATACAGATTGCACCCAAGCAACCACTGTAAGATTTTAGTCCCAGAAGTTCATAGAATCAAAACTTTAGAATAAGAATCTTAAAGTTTACCCAGCTCCCTTAAATACTTGGTAACTAAAGGTTAATTTGTCTGTTGATGGTCACACAGGTATTCAGTGGCAGAGCCAAAATCTGAATCAAAATTCACTGACTTCAAACAAATCCAGTGTTAGATCAACCCAGAAGAAACATATGCCATTATCCTACAGCATTAGATCTCTGCAGAGACCTTGAATCTTTAGTCATGGTGGTTTAATGGCAAAAACACAGGCCTTGGAGTTAACAGATACAACAACAAGTTCCAGCCGGATGCTTATTTGTTGCATGAACTTGGACAAGTAATTTTATCTCTCTGAGCCTCAGTTTCCTAATCCATAGAATGAAGATAATAATCCTAGCTCTACCTATTTCACATGGCTACTGAGGAGAAAAAAAAGTGTTTTGTAAGTTTTGAGTCACTATACAAATGTGAACCATTATTAATCGTTAAAATGACTATAGAACACACATAATATATACATATGTATGTATATATGGATATAAAATTTATACATATACAAAAATATGATTTAGATTTAACAAGAATTTATTGAGAATCTCCTACGTGGTGCCAGGCATTGTTCTATCCCAAAGTGTTTCTGTTATAATAGAGGGGAGAAGACTATAACACACATAAAAGAGCTGGGGATCAATTGTGTGCTAAATTCCGCAGCACTGCTTCAGAAAAGGATTTCTGAGATGCCAGATAAATATAATACATTAATGTAAGCTGGATTAATATAGGAAGTCTACTTGAATAAGCTAGGAGTTAAATTCATCCTTGAATGGTAGGGAAGATTTGAATAGGTTATACACACATATAGGGACATGCATATGTGTATACACACATACACATATATGTGTGCATATATATATACATATATACATACATATATACATACATATATATATATATATATATATATATATATACACATATATATGTATATGTGAAGGGAAACTGATAATGAGGATAAAAGAATATCTGCACATGTATCTCTGGTTAAAGTCTGATGACTAAGATACATAGAGAATTAACATGTAAGACTATCTCTACCCTTAATAGACAAGTAGACAAAGACAGTTTATAAAAGAAGACATGCAAGCAATTGACAATCATATTCGATTCTTCCAATACAACACCCCATTTTCCAACTCTGAGTGTTTCCACTATCTATTCTTCATCCCTGGAACACATTCCCTCCTCATCCCCACCTCCTAGCTTCCTTGATTCCCTTCAAGTGTTACCTAAAGTTCCACCTCCTGCCTTTTCCAGTCCTTGCTCTTTGTGGCCTCCCTCTGACAGGACTCCCAACTGCATTCAGTTTTGGATACTACTTGCATTTGTGTACAGTTCTGACTACATTTCAGGGAAGACACTGATAAGCTTGAGAGCATACAAAGGAGATAACTTAGACAGAAAAAGAAATCTTTAAGATCTTGTCAAAAAGGACAAGTTGAAGTGAATGTGAATAATGTTTATTTAGCCTGAAGAAGAAAAGCATTTTCAGATGGTATTTGAGCCAAGGGATTGGGGGTAGGGCGAAGATTAGAGTTGTTCTGTATCTCCCCAGAAGGAAGAATTAGCAGCAATGGATATGCAATTCAAAGAGGCAAAGTTAGGCTTGAAGTAAGGAAGAACTGCCTAATAATTATAGCTATTCTAAAGTGGATTATTGGCTGCCTCAGCAAGTTATGGTTCCTCCTGTTGGATAGGTTATGGGTCTTCAAGTAAAGTACAGATAAGGACTTATAAAGTATGCTATAGCTGAGATTCAGGTACAGATTAAGGGAGAAAAAAAGCCTTGGGGCCCCTGCTGATGCTGAGACTCTGAACCAACATTAAATATCATATATTGGTTCCTACAGCATGTTCATTTGTGCTTTATAGACTGAACCTTGACATATATAGAGTCAAGACCATCTGGGATTCCAGGGTCTTTACTGAGTCTGCAGGCAAAATTGGCAATGCATTCTAAGGTAATGTTGACACTAGATCAGAAAATATAATATTTGACCTGAGTCTTGAAGGGAGACTAACAGTTTAATAAGGAGAAATCACTGTAGATAATTCCAAGCAAAGGGGATGGTTTGAGGAAAGACATAGCCCTTTGGAAAGCTTAGGATATGCATGGGGAATGGCAAGTAGCCCAGTATTGTTGGAACGTAGACTATGTAGGATAGAAAGATGAAATAAGATTTATGGAAGTTGTTAAGTTACCAAAAACAGCTGTTTACATTGTCCCATAACCTACTGTAGAAAAAGAGACCAGGCATGAAAAAATGATGGGAAAATACACAGCCCAAAAAATATCTTGACTCATTTCCTTGCAAAGAACGGGAATTAGGGAATTCAGTAGGGACAACTCCTAGACCAGAAGCACTTCCACTTATACTGAGCTGTCGAGTTTCCATGAGTATTGAAGACTTCAAGTAGAAGCAGCAAGAAAACAACTATCTGTAGTTGCCTGTAGTTGGAATAGGTCAGAAGGGCTATTCCTTCAAGATGAGAGACTTTGGTGGCAACAAAACTAAGGCTTTTCTCAGAAAACAAAACAAAACAAAACAAAAAACCAACCAACCAACAAACAAAAACTTTGGCATCCCCTAAGAAGAAGGTGATGGAAGCATAAAAAAAAGTTACTTGTTGGTATTCCAAATAAATTTTAAGTTCTGGCAGTAAATGTGTAAAGTATGCAACTTGACAGTACAGAAAACGAAAAGAAGTGGAATTAATCGAGAAGATTGCAAGTAAGATTCACCACATCCTTGCAAGTGATCCATTATAAACCTACTCAGCATTAACTCTGTGATGTATGTAAAAGAAGAAAACATGATCCCTGAGATCTAGGAACTTACAATCTGGTTTAAGGATACAAGACTTGTTCACATGAAGCAAAAAATGAAAAATATCACATAAGGAAAAAACATTCTATGGTACAGATAACAAATGCATTTATTCAGAAGAGAAAGGACATAGCACGGTAGGGGAAAAAACAGAATTGAGAACTTATATTCTAATGGGGAGAGAACACGTACACATATAAGAATATATGTAATGTATACAAAATGCATTATAGACAGTGTTGGGAGTGAGGGCACTAGCAACCAAGGAGGTTGGAAAAAAGTTTTACTTAGAAGAGGGCACTTGAACTGAGTCTTTAAGGAAACTAGAGAATGCAAGAGGCAGAAGGGAAGACTAAAAGGCCCAGATCTTTTTCATGCAAGTTTGGATCCAGCAGAATGTCCCCTTCTCTGTACTTAGATTGCTAATATTTTCAACTTAAGTAAAGGATTTTATAATAATTCCATTTAATTTTGTTGTAATTGAACCATTGTTCTTTTTCTGTCAAGATCTTTTCGCATTGAAATTATCGTCATCATCACCAACAACAACAGTTATCATTTATAGAGTGCCTACTGTATGCATGCCAGGCACTGTGCTAAGTCCTTTATAAATATCTATTTTTAACACTTATAAAAATCCTCATAAGGAAGAGAGGTACCATATTATCCCCATTTTAGAGTTGAGGAAACTGAGGTAAACAAAGGTTGACTTACCCAAGGTCATAGAGTAATCTTATCAATAACATTTAGTCTTTCTATAGTGCCTACTATATGCCAGGCACTGTGCAAAGTACTTTTTAAATATTATTGCAATTGACCGTCGCAACAATACTTCACAACAACATGCTATCATTACTCTCATTTTGCATTTGAGGAAACTGATGCAGAGGTTACATGATTTATCCACAGTCACCTAACTAGTCTCCGAGGCAGGATTTGAATTCAGGTCTTCCTGACAACAACCCCAGCATTCAATCCATTCTGCCAACTAGCTGTCTCCTGTCATGTAGCATATTAGCTATTTTCCTCAGATGTCAAATATTTATATAATTTCAGCATGCCTTCTATGAGTTCGTAGAAGTCATTCTTTAAAAAGAGTGTTGATGACAATGAGAGAAAGGACAGATATTAGTAACAACACTACACTGTTGACTACTCTTGGGGTAATTAGTGAATGAGTTCAGGATCTACTTAATTAGACTACCATAAAGCCTGCCTTTTCATCTTGTCCATGAGGATATGGTGAAACACTGTATCTTGTTCTTTGTGGAAATCTCAGGACTCTGTCTTTGCAGTTCTCCTCATCTATTAGTCAAGTAGCCCTTTCAGAATAGGAAATGAGGTTTGACTAGTTTGACTTGCTCTTGATGAACCCATGCTGGCAAGTAAGAATCAGCATGCCCTTTCTAACCATGACTTTAATAATGCATTTTGGAATGTTGCAAGGAATCAAAGTCAAGCTCACTCTCCTAGAGTTTGAAGAAACTTAACCTTTTTGAAAATTGGGTTAACATTTGCTTCTCTCCACATGAGCAACACCTCTTTTATTCTCATCCCTTTTTTTTCCAAGATCACTCATCACAGCTCAGCAATGACATCTACAAGTCTTTAGGACCCTGCTATGTATTTCATTTTGCCCCAGACACCCATCAACATGAACTCCTTTGCTATTTCCTCCCTCCTCTTTTATAAATTTATCACAGCTCCATCATTTATAAAATGAGGGAACAAGTTCTGGC